TGGTGGTGAAGGAAGAACCAGCTATGGTAGTTGGGATATCATGGCATGGAACCATCTCAAGGCTCTTAAAAACAGATATGTTTGCAGTGATACGGTGACGTGAAAATTAATGTTATCTCTACCTTCAAACATTTTTTACAGAAAGGTTATCCGTATCATCCAAATTCTAAGCACAAGTATCACTTCCCCAAATGTGCTTGTAATATATATCCAAAATCTTGGAAATCTTTGAGTCCATCACACGCAATGGCTCCGGAGCTCGATCAATTTTTTCAATGTTAGAGGAGAATTCGGATACCATTTCTTCAACCAAGGGTTCACTGTCCCTGATAATACCCTCTGGAAAACCAGTCTTGTCATTTTCAACTCCTAGAGTTGATAAAGTAAGGGGATTTTTCGTTTTAAATGTATATAGGATGAGATGTTCATGCATTTCTTGAGGTCATGAGAAAATCGTGGCGACTGGACATTGTATAATGCGCCAGAATGAAGATGGCGTTGATTCTTTTTGGGTTAACCCTTATTTCCCATCCTAACAAAAAAAGTTAATGAGAAACAGAAAATCCTTCGACTTGCTAGTTCAAGAAATAGGGGAACAAAAAAGAGCAATAGGAAAATATTGCAGAAAAGAACCTGCAACATAGGGAAGATGCTAGAATCCACAATAATTTTATCAGTGTTCGAGTCTTGAGACAGAATGAATTTATGGAAGGCACGGAAAGCTACAGCAGTTTCTGTGCTTCCCGAAGGTAACCATTTGGAAAGCTGATAACAGACCATCTTGAAGCAACTTCACCACTGACTTTCCAGATTCTGACACATTGTACTACGTATGGAGGTGAAGGCAAGCAGGTCGAGCTTCAACGCTTTAAGAGAAAGTGGATCGAACACTGTAGGATAGAAACTCAAACCCATTTCAGCAGCTGAAATCTAAAAAATGCATCTAAAAAATGCAAATACATCATCAAAACAACATGGCACGACATAGGATCAAAGGAATATATCATTCCAAAGAATTGCACCTTCAACATTGACGCCTGCAACTCCAAACCCGAAGCTACAAGCATTATCATTGTCATGAATTCCACCATAGCAGGCGGAGTGAGAACTTGTGGCGATTCGAGCAAGAATGCCATCGCCCTCCTCAATTCTTTAGAATTCAATCTAGGGGAGGCCTCTCTATTCGAGCTGGGATCTGGGGCAAGTACAGATTATCGGAAGAGCGAAGGCCTCACCGGAGAAGACATAAAAGAATCTCAACAGAGAGAAAAGGAGACGGTGCCATTGCTGAGAATTGAGATTTACAGGAGAATATGGGCAAATCTCAAATCGGATATGCCGCCGTAACAAATTGGGCGACCGCCACACTCGCGGCTACGGTTCGACGTAGGATGCTGATAGCCGATAGGGGAATCGCAGGCCTGCCTAAAGAGGATGGATTTTGGACACTACAGCCCCAAGCCCAAAAGAAGTTTTAAATTCAAACATTCATCTCAATTTTCACTGCCCCGCCTTTGTTTGGAAATATTTGTGTTAATATTTGGTAATGTTTAAATGAAAAGTTGATATGTATCGCCATCACAATTAACGTGAAAGCTTGTCGAAATAATTAACTGGCTAGTACTAAACGAACTTAACCTTTAATGATAGTAAAAATAATTTATGAGTAGAAACAACGAGGAACCCACAATCTACTGCAGTGAAATTTGTTCTAGTGTAAGCTAATTCTTTCAAGTAAACTTCCACTTTAATTGTCACATCGTTCTAGATTCTATTACGTCAATTTTTTATTCAAAATATTAATGAAGTCAAGAGAAGTTGGGATGGTAGGGAAACCATCCAACATAATTGATACTCTCAATCTTATCTATTTCATGTCTTCGTTCTCTTTTCTCAATTTTCTTTCGCTTCCCTCTCTTACGGTAGAAGAACCCATAAGAACTCTCTATGGTCGCTATAGATTTGTTGGATCCCTTCCACCGCGTGGATTTAGTTGCCTTTTGTATGCCCTCCGAGACTCCGATGTGCTTTTGGCATTGGTCAATCACTCTATTACTCATGGATTTTCTTGAGAGTACAACAAAAGTCTCACATCTACAAGACAACTGGTACATAAGTTAAGGACGGCTATCTCCATATTGTTATGATATATTTTCAAGTGAAATTAAAAGTAAATTATGATAAATTCAGTCAAAAGTAGACAATATCAATCGAGACCTGAAGTTGTTTGTCATCCCTACCATTCAAAATTCGAAGTTGTTTTTTATCCCTCGTCATCGATCACTTGATACAAAGGAGTTGGGGATTCAAATAAGAGCTTTATATTAGATAACTACAAAAGTAGATGTGAAATTACAAACATGGCATAAAAGGTTTTATTATTGTTAAAATTCAACATAATTTAATTACATAATAAGTGTTCAACAATCAAATGTCCAAACCGAACGTTCTCAAAAAAAGAAGAAGAGAAAGTTCTAAAGGGAGCTACAACGCATCCAACATGACCAAAAAAAAAAGTGAGTGGTTCCTAAAAACAATAGTATCCAACAAAATGCTTATAATATAACTCTCGGATTCATAAAAAGAGTGCAAATAAAGTCTCACATTGACTAAAAAAGAGAGAGTGTTTCATAGTATATAAGCTGAGAAGACTATTATCTGTATTGGTACGAGATTTTTTTGGATGAAACCTAAAGTAAATGTGTGAAAGTTATGTCCAAAACGAACAATATCATATATCATCGTAGACATTTTTTTTTTAATCGAAAATAAGGCATCATGTTATCTCTTCTATAAAGGAGGGTTTTAAACTTAGGTACTAGTTCGCAAAATAATAATAAGTAACAACAACAACAAGTGGCTTACTTTCTATGACTTGGGAAATGAAAACAAAACACCCTAATTTTGGGATGTTAAAAAATTCAATGACCTGAAAATTCCGACTAATTAAATTCAATCTATAAGTTTGAATTGAGTTGGTTTAAGAATTCACCACACATAAATTTAAGTTGAATCAAATCTATCTGAATTTATTATTATTTATAAAATCATTTCTTTAACATACCATAAAATTATATACGAATCTAATTGTTTGAGGATTATTTATTCTCCAACAATTTTAAAAAAAAAAGAAAATTAAATTTTAGAAATATAATTTTTCATGGTATAAATAAGCATGGACTTATAAATCTTGATTCGAAATTAGAAAATATAAAAATAAATATTTAAGATATTAACAATTACCTTTTGTGTTGTACAATATTTTGAATTAACTCAACCTAAATATTTGATTATTGAGTTAGAATTAAATTCATTAAGTCATAATAGTTGTTTGTGTTGAATAAATATACAATTCAAATAATTATACTGCATCTAAAAGTAGTTCAATCCAACCCATGAACACTCGTGCTCGAATATAATTTATTTCCCCAATAAAAGAAAATTCCTTTTAAAAAAG